AACTATCAAATCGTGGGGTGAGTTATTCGGTTAGGTTAGGTTAGGTCCACCACAACCCGCAAGGGTTCGCACTCGACCAAATAAACCCAGCTTCTTAACGAAGCCAATCATTTTGTATGGTGAGTGGTCTTTCAGGTCAGATGGTAAGAGTACGGCTCTGCCGAACTCTAAAAACCTGATTCGGTCCCCAGCGGGTGAGGCAGCTCTGCTGTTGCATCGTTAATGAGGTAGTCGGATAGTCAAGGTGCAAGATTGCCACCATGATACCCGCGACAACCTTCCCATATAAGGGTTTTTGCACGTCAGCTACACCTGACGATGTCTTGAATTTAACCGTGCAGGGCTTTTCCGCCTCTGGTTTTGGTGAATCATCACTTGAGCGCAAACGTTTGCTAACCCGCTCCTGGGGGTTTGTTTCTCCACCTGAGACAGATTCTGCGTTTGCTGCTCAAGAATTTGGTGCTAGGCGGTTTCATAAGGTACCCCGCTCTTGAGGAGACGACTCAGTCGTTTCCTGGCTGCACCACCAAACCTTATTTTTTAGGTTCAGTTATTGGATCAGAAGTTGGAGAGTTGAGAAGCTCTCGCTTCTGATCTAAATTTACAGGGAGGTCAGTTGGAGTCGTAAGCTTGACATCCACCTCCTCTGTAGACTCGCTCCTGAATTAAATTTACATGGAGGTCAGTTGAAGTCGTAAACTCGACATCCATCTCCTCTGTAGACTCAGCGTCAGAAAGAATTGTTGAGTTTTCTCTGCCCACAAAAGGCGAGAGGGCGCCGGGTATCTCGAAGGTTCCGTAGAGATAGCTGATAGGCTCAGTGTCATTCATTCTCTCAGCACGGATACACGCACCTCAGGATTAAGCCATCGTTGGAATGCCATTCAGTTAGGGAATAACAGAACCACAAGTGATTCTGTCATTTCCGTGTCCAGCGGGGCCACGTGGAAGCAGGCATCCGATGGCCAGTTTGCTCAACCTCCACATCTCAAGCCAATGCACTCGCCAAAAACAGCATGTACAGTGGTTCAGAAAGATGAATAAGGACAGCCAACCCGCCGTGAGTACTACAACTAGGTATTAACTACAAATTTTGCAAAATATGGATAACTGCAAAGAAAAATTATTCCATTTGGTTAAGTGTACAACTAGGTAACTGTAGCTGACAGTTTACAGGTGATACTTAGAATTTTCAAAACTAGATAAAGTATAATCATCAGAGAAGAAATCAATTTTATAACTAGGCAAATTCACATATCTAGTTGTTCAACATATGAATTCGTTGTTTTTAATCAATTTTGTTATTTTTTTTGTGAATGAAACAATTTTTGCAGTGTATTATTGTCAATACAATAATTGATCGCAAATAAACAATTTATTTATAAGCCTGATTTCCTAAACTTAATATGAAACTAACAAAAACATCGTTCTTTTATAAAATATTATCTAATATATAAAAATGGATGTTTGTTGGTTGGTTGGTTGGTTGCTAAGTGATAAACTTCTACATCGCTCAACCGATCGTAATGAAACTTGACATGTATAAATAATTTTTAATAGAGAAGGTTTTTAGACTATCAATTTTTCTGTAACTCGCCAGTAGATGCCGCTGTAGAACAATTTTTTGAAAGCACTGTTCTATAACGCTGCGCACGCCTAAGTTCGTTGATTCTGATTCCGTCAAAACATTGGAACAGCAGCGATACAGCAACATAGTACTAATTGGCATTACAACTACCAAATTCTACGCAGGCGAAGTCGTGGACAACAACTAGTATTTTGTAAAAGAATTTAGCACTAAATCGATATCAAAGATATTTTTAGTGCTAAATAAATGAAATTTAGAAATGGCAGTGAAATTATATTTAATGAAGCCTTCATATTGTAGCAAAATCGGGAAAAACATCAAATTGAGTTTACCCCGAAACATGGAAGACTTAACAGATTATCTCTGGTTTGGAATCCTGGCCATACTAGTCTGGAAGTCAATGAGCCTGCTGATTCTTTTGCAGAGGAGGGTGCTGCAATCAGCTTCATAGGACCAGAACCTGTTATTTGCATCGCTTAGGCTTTGCCAAACGAAGATTAAACACCTGGATAGCAAGAAGATTTATGGACTTCTGGCAGAATCTTCCAGAATCTTCCAGAATCTCCAAAGCGTTTATTCACCCTTCGAAGCATGATACCAAACAGTTGTTGGACTACAGTAGGGATGAACTACGATATCTAACAGGCCTTCTTACAGGTCACTTTCATTAGAATCATCATATTATGCAGAGACTCGGACTGACGGAAGCCAGTGTGTGTCGCCTCTGTTTGGAAAATTATGAAACAGCAGAACACATACTTTGTGCCTGCCTCGCTGAGAACCGAGTCAGGTTTTTAGAGTTCTGCAGAGCCGTAATCTTACTATCTGACCTGAAAGACCAGTCACCATATAAATAAATCGGCTTCGTTAAGAAGCTGGGCTTATTTGGTAGAGTGTGAATAGGTGTGGGCCACAATAAACCCTTGCGAGTTGCGGAGGAGGTTCGAATAGACCCACTCCTTTTGGACCTAACCTAACCTTACCCCGAAACAGCTGATTTGTAGTTGTCTAGTTGTATCAGATTTTACACTATTTCACAAAATAATCAACGGTAGCATTAATGCTGCGGGACTTGTTGAACTTTAGTGTACCCTTTCATCATACCAACTATGGCCAGAATGAGTCTATAGGTAGAATTTTGAGCCTTGCAAACACTTGGAATGTGGATTTGAAACGTTTTTAATTTTTCTTTGGAATCATTTGAAAATACCATGAAAAGATTTTAATTGATTGGCTTGTTTTTGCCTTTTTATTTTTTTGCATCTAGCTGATAGTTATAGTTTGTGTGAATTTGTTGATTATTTTGAAAAAATGGGCAATGCCACGAATTAATAAATAGAAGTTACTGAGGCGTTTCCAGTTCGAATTAGTTTTCCAAGTAACTGATAGGCTAAACTTTACTATTTGTGTAACGTGATTGTGCAAAAACTTATTAGTATAAAATTTTTGTCATCTTTAGCCAAAGTTTTTGATGAACAGCTTTCCCCTAAATTTCCAAAATAACTGATAGTTAGGCAATTGATCTATGATGTTTTTGCAGATTTATTTTCTCGTTTTTGGGTATAGGTTGAACTCAATCATTATTTCAATGTGAAGGAAATCCCCTTTTCTTGAAGAACAAATTATAGAACATGAATACGATGAGAGCTACTTCATCAGCAGCAAAATTTTGGTTAATGCTGGTTCATATTCTTCTAATAATACGCATAATAATCATAGTAACTTTATGCAAAAGTAACATGATAATCTACATTTCTGATACTCAAAGTATATTCATTGGTGTTATTTTCAAAAAAGACATTTATGTACCTGTTGTTGATCTGTTGAAATCCGAAATCGTAGCTATACTGAGTTCACTTCTTACAAATATCTCATAAACTCATGAGAAAAAAAATTTATTATAACCCCTATTCATAGAAAGATACAATTGATACTTTCACTAGAGTAGTTGAATTTTTTTTTTTATTATATTACATGTATATAATATGTATATATTCCAGCTGAACTTTGATCGGTATTCTATTTGATGTATTCTATGAAAATGTTCCCTGACAATCACTTCTACAAATCACTGTTTCATCAATCGAACTCAACATAATACACAAAAACACCGAAAATAAAATAAACATTTCCATTAGATTTAAGTGTGTTAGGATGTTCTTTGTAATGGTTTGGCAGTAGTGAAGGTTTTATAAACTGTTTAGTTTATGAAAATTTATTTTCGAACATCCGAAGAAGTGTTTCCTTTCATCACTAATACGCTTTTTCACTTTTATCTGAACTATATAAAAGTTATTATTCCTCAACGCAGTCGTATAACTTTTTCATTGGCATGTTTTTTGAAAACAAGTGGGTAGAAAAAATATCTGCTTTTCATGTTACAGCATTGAATTCATGTTAGGTAGAGCGCAATGAAACAAATGATCGACGTAATGAAACAACTGATTGAATTTTTCTAATACAAATAATTCTCCCACATACTAGAACTATAACACTTTTTTCGACGCACGTTTCACCAGGCAAGCTTACGTTGTTAGGAGATGAAGTATACTGAATATAATATATCTCCTGATGACGCCAACTTGGTTGGTGAAACGTGCCTCTTTTCGTAGTAGTTTACGAGAGTTGTATAACCTGACTTCTAAATTCATCAATTAATTTTTTATCAATGTCACTTTTTAATTTCAATCAGTATTCGATGTATAGTCTGTATTAACATAAGAACTAGTCGTAAAAATACTTTTATGAGTTGGATATTTCAGCTGTAGCCGTATACATCTACCAACAACTCTGTATGTTGGAACCAATTCAATTTCCTTCACGACATTGAATCGGAGAAATTATGATTCAAGAAGTCATATCCTTGCACAGAAATGACACTTTCACACCCACTTAGTCTTCAATGAGTTATCAATAAGTCTAATTTTCATCTATTCGTCTTTCTGAGAAGAGCTCAATGATCCTTTCAAAGGATTTCTAAACTTTTTTTCATTTGGAGATCACATGAGAAGATAATGTTTTTCAAAGTCATCACATCGCATTGATTTAGGTTTGAATATTTACATTTTTCCAGTTTTGCTTACAAAAATGTTTGTTCAGTAAATATATGGTTCCACTGTTTTCTCTTTCCCCTCTCACACTAGCAGAAAGAAACTTGTTTTTTATAGTACCAATTCATTAGTGAGTAGCGACAGTATAAGAACGTACTAAGGGTCGCATGAAATAATACCTCGTTAATACTTGGCTCGCACAAGTTTTGACTCCTGAGTACTGTCGTTCAAAGGGGCAGGCAACACCTGGTTGTGAAATATATTTTTTGTACAACTGTCATTAAAAAATGACTGCAACCGAGGTACATGAAGAAGATAACCCAGTGACAAATTACACTACACTCAACTTTCTTTTTTTTCAGATATTTCGCCGTCTGGAGTACCCCGCAGAAATATCTCGAATCAGGCACTTCAACTCGACAGTACTCCACAAAAGACAGTATTTAATAAATTTCATAACAAATAATACCAAGACGTCAAATTTAGATTATTTAATTTCCAATGAACTACTCGAATATGAAAAATTGCTGCAAGATTCCTTCGAAGCGGGCATTCTGAGATTTCCTGAAGATGATCTGGAAAAATGGACAACACTAAAGGCTGTTTTCTTCTCTTCCACAGTTTTGACAACGATAGGTGAGTGAAAATGTGTGAAAGAATATTCTCAAACAGGTTTTTTTATGAAGTTCATCTTATTTATATTGTTAGTTCTGTGTTTGCACTTTCTATTGTTATTATATTTTTTCAACCTAACGTTGCGCTGGTCAGGCCCTATCTCCAAAAGCCCTATTCCCCAAAGCGCTATCCCCCAAAGCCCCGTTTTTTGATGACATCAAATACCTGCAAAAATTTTCAATTGTATCGATAATATTGAGTCATCATCAGTGAAGATGAGCTAAGGATTGCCTTCGTATACGGTTTTGTTGTGATAGTATAAAGTCATAGGGTTCAGTGCAAGTTTCTCTTAGTAAATGTGTAGATGTTGGCGCCCTGCAGCGGGGGTTCTAGAATGCATCTGCTGGATGAGGTGTCACCCGTGAAGAGTCCTCCAAAATGACATTCATCCTAAGTTGTGTGTATCCGTGTCGAGAGAATGTACAACTCTGACTCTACTCAGTAACACAAACGGGACCTTCGAGACACCGGGCGCCCTCTTGTCGTACAAAACTTTATCACGGTAATGCAGGGCTCTGCCGTGATGAACCTTTTTTTGTAGCTACTCATGGGACTTCTTATGGACCATGAAGTAACCAAAATACCGAACCTGAATCTACAGAGGAGATGAAAGTCGACGAACAACCCTAACTGTTTCTCCTGTAACAGAGGAATAAGTAAAAACTACTCAGTTCTCCGGCCTTTGAATTCAGCTTGATAGTTCGTTCTGGAACCTATGGAGTAAAATGAATCTATTGAATTCTATTGAATCACTTTCCCAACACCAGAGAAACCGTAATTTTGTTCTGGTGTGACCTGAAAAGTATTTTCAATAGATACTTTGACTTCAGTTTGTAGAGGAGATGAAGGTTAGTCAAAAGACCCCAACCGTCCTTTTTGAAACATTTGTTCAAGAGCAGGAGCACCTCACTTCTCCAAATCTCCAAGGTACTTAAAAGGCTAGATGATGCAGCCAGAAAACGACCGACTTGCACCCCATTCTTGAATAACAGAAGCAGAATCTGCATTAAGCGAGAAAATATCTTACTCAATTCTAATTGTCTTTTCTGAAGCAAAGTATCAAGAGAATGAGCTTTTCAGTTTTCAAGCTTTTGAGCTGAGTTTGCAGAAGAATTGAAGGTTGATCAAATGACCCCAATTGTTCTCCCTGTGACATCGGACCTTCTGCGTTCTCCAATTCTTGAACAAACATAGATGGCTGGGTGGTGCAGCCAGGAAACAATTTATCGCCTCCTCAGAAGTAGGATATTTTATGAATCCGCCTTGCACCAAATTTTTGAGCAACATCAGCAGAATCTGCTTCATGAGAAGAAACAGTTTCCACCTGAACAGGTCCTTTGAATGACCTGAGTTTACAGAGGAGATGGATGTCAACCAACGACTCCAACTGTCCTTTCTGTAACGAAGCATCAAGAGAAAAAGCTTCTCAGTTTCCCAGCTGAGCTGAGGTTACAGATGAAATGAAGGTTGATCAAACTACCTCAATTTTCTTCTCTGTAACTTTCAATCCAGAATAGGAGCTTCTCCGTTCTCCAATTTTTAATCAAACATAGATGGCTGGGTGGTGCAGTCAGAAAAAGATTTATCGCTTCCTCAGGGATAGGATAATTTATAAATCTGCCCTGGACCAAATTATCAAGTAATGGAAGCAGTATATGCATGGGGAGGAGAAATAGTTTCTACTTGAACAGGTCCTGTAAATGACCTGAGTTTACATAGGAGATGGATGTCGATTGAACAACCATACTGTCCTCTTTGTATTATTTTATCAAAAGCTTCTCCATCCTTCAGCTTTTGAGCTGAGTTGAGAGAAGATAGGGGTTGATCAAACGACTCCAACTATCTTCCCGCGGTAAGAATCGGATAAAGAGCGGAAGCTTCTCAGTTCTCCAACTCTTGAAGACACCTAGGAAAATGGGCCATGATCTGAAATCTTGTGGGGGATAATTTTTCACTGCCCTGGTAGCAGAGCACGTAGTTTGTGCCTACCACTGGATCAGGTTTTCAAAGTTTGGTTCAGCTGACCTGAAATATCACTCGTCAAATAAATGAATCGACTTCGTTGGGAAGCTCGATTCATTTGGTCGAATAGATATGAGCGACAGTAAATTCTTGTGGGTTTCAGTGAAGGGTTGAGAAGACGTACGCATTTTAGACCTACCTACCAACCTACCTATGAAAATATTCACTGTTACATTTGTAACATATTCAATTTTTCCGAATTCGTTTTATCACTAAAAATCACGAGAATATGAAAATCTAGGTCTTTCTTCATTTTCCTCTATGATGGTATCATTTACAAAATCTTGAATGAGCAAATGTCGCCTGGTATATTTCTTAGTTTTTCTGGAAATTCATAGCGATATTAGAATCACTTTATCGCCTTGATGGATTTTTCCACTAGACGAATACTGTTTATTGCACAACTGTCATAATTTGAGTAATACTTGTTCTCTTCTGAAAATGATGTTGATATACTTTGAGGAATACATATAATATGATAATGGTGCACTACAAATCGAGTAGAAATTGGGCATCAAATAAGTACTTTGAAAGACATCAGCCTCATAGAAGCCAGTCCAGAACATTAGACAGAAAATCTCAAGTCATATTGGTATTACAATGTTTATTATTATCGAAATAATGATGAAGTTTTTCACCAAAAATCAACATAAATTATTAGTGATGATGAAATAAACACTTAAGCAAGTTGGTAGTCTAACCAAAAGCCAATTTGGCTTACTAATGTAATCAATTTATTTATTCATATCTGGGGATTCTCAATTAAAACTTGAGTAAATAATTTATTACACCAGTGAAAGTGAATATGGCACATCAAAGAGCATTTTAAAGACAATTTCAAACTACAAAATATTTGAATCAGAGCCATTGCGCAACATTAAAAAGTTATACGAGCGATTTTACATCGTTTCAATACTAGAATAAACCAAGCAAGAAATTTACGCGAGATGACGTAAGACGAATATTACATACAGGGTAGCAAATGAAAATAAACCAGTCGGTATCAGGAAACGTGTCAATGTTTTATAAAATCACAGAGGGACGGACACATTCTTTTCCAGTACTCCATCATTTACTCAACATGTGAGGGTAATTCACTCTAAAGTATTTGAATGTATTCGAAAACCAATTAAGTTATATGCATATTTCGTAATCTTTTAATTTTAAAATTCTGCTATATTTTCAAAATTATTTCTTATAACTCAGTTGATTAGATGTTTAAACTGTTGAACACAATCGTTCGTGGAGTAGTAAATATTTTGTTCCTCCCCCCCCCCCCCGTTCAATCCCAAACATTTTCGAAGAGTGTATAATTTATAGCGCGAATCTAATTAATCTAATTCTAATGACACTGGTTATGTTCTAGAATAACTACTATCGTTCCTCTTCAACTTCGAGGAACACGACTCTTTGCAAACTATGCTGTGAAAATATACTGTCAACCTAACTACCCGAATTATGATATTTTTTTCAATGACAAAATCCATGATTTATTCCTACAAAATTCAACGGAAACCAGACCAACAGATACACGATAGTAGAAAGTTTTCACGCTCGCTTTCCCGGAGTTCCCTCCATGGAAACTAGCTGATATGCATTGCAATGTTTCGAGAAATGAAATGAAAAAGTCAGAATTGAACTCACAACAACACAAACTAAACTACTACAATAACATCAGCAAATTTCCTAACTACTGCAAAATATATACTGATGGATCAAAGACCGAGTATTGGGTGTATTCCTTGTAGATGGACATCTCCATAGCTAGTCGATGCACTCAATGATCAGTGTATATACAGCATAATTATACGCTATATACCAATCTTTACTATCCTTTGAATTTGTACGAAATGAAAGTCATTTCCTAATTTGTACCGACTTGTTGAGTTCCATAAGATCGTTTCAAAATAAATTTACTCTTGACCCCTTGTAAGGATTATTCTTGCCAGAATTCATATTATGAAGGAAAACGGTAGAACTGTCAGATTCATGTGGGTGCCTAGTCATTGTGGCATAAAGAACAACAAGGACGTGGATAAGGCAGCTAGAATGGTTGCTAACTCCAATGAACATGAAGATGTACCGCTCTACCTAGAAGATCTGGAGAATTATGATGAAACCAAAGAAGAATCTGACTGGCAGACTCTTTGGAATGAAAATGATGCTGAAATGCTCAAAACCAAGTGTGAATAAGCGAATCTCACCATTAAAATTGACCAGAAGAGAACAACTTCTTCTCACGCACGTCTACGAATCGGTCATTCAAAAATGAGACACCTCTACTTGTTCCTAGGAGAATCACAACCTCTATGCATGACATGCCAAACAGTACTAACCAACATATACTTGTAGAAGGTCCAGAATATGAGGAAACCAGGAGACAACATAACATAACTGGGGCAATGAAAGAAATTCTATGTGATGAAAGACGAACGTTGAGCAACCTCATGGCATTTTTGAAAGCCGCAAATATAATAGATGAAATCTGAAGAACAAATAGCAAGTAAGCGGCTAATAACCTAGCAGTTGATGCCGCAAAAAAACTGCTATCGGTATATCGGTATTCTCATAGTAAGTAATCAAAAGGCCACAAATTTGGTAACGGTGGAGGCCATTTGGAGTTGTCGGTTCTCCCAATTCAGTATCATGGAAAATGTCCAAATTAACGGCATGATGAATGTAAGTTATTTTATGTCTCAATAGGGTGGTGCTATTTTGCATAATACTTTAATTGTTCGTCAACATTTAGTTAACATAAACACAAACCCTTATAGAAAATACATTTTTCATAAATTTTGTTTTTGCTGGGATCGAAACATTTTTAGTTTTGAAATAATATTAATGATTTCTATTATTGTATAATCGTCAAATACTCTCAATTGTCAATTATGTTAACAGAACGAATGTGTTTTAGACAGTGGAAAGTCCAAAATAGTACT